ATGCTTCAGTATTAGACAAAGTCTCTAAAGGCTGTAGCTGAGATTTCTATGTTATGCAGTTATCACCAAGAGTAAAAAAGTATGCTGTAGTTGATTTTCTACTGTCTTTATCACCTACAAAGTCAGCATCAACATAGCCTTTAAGGGTTAACTTTTCAGATCTTTTCTCATACACTAAGCCTAGATTTAAAGTCCTAACCAAATACCTCAACAGCCATTTCATTCCAGCCGAGTGTGGCTTACCAGGATTGGACATAAATCTACTTAGGAGACTAATAGAAAATACAAGATCAGGTCTGGTACTATTCATAGAAAACATGGCAGAACCTATGGCATTAGCATAAGGGACATTTTCCATCTCTTTCAATTCTGACTCAGATTTAGGCGAATGAGTATGTGAAAAATTCATATGACTAGCAAGAGGCACATTCACAATTTTACTGTCTTTCATTCCAATTTTGTTACAACTTTGTTCAAATAAACTTCTAGTGAAATAGTTAGCATATTCTTAGCCATATCCCTTGTTATAACCATCAGGAGAATCTTTCTAACATTCCCTAAATCTTTCATATCAAATTCAGATTTTAAAAGATCCTTCAATTTATTAATTTAAGATTTATAAGGTCCAGCTAATAGCATATCATCAACATAAAGCAACAAGTAGACTTCACAACCGCTCTTTATGCTATTAAAATACAAGCAAGCATCAAATTCACTTCTTTTAAACCCTATCTTTAGCACGAAGGCGTCAAACCTCTTGTACCATTGTCTTGGGCTCTGTTTCAGTCGTACAAAGATTTCTCTAACTTGCACACATAATCAGATTTACCTCTAGCTACAAAGCTTTGTAATTGACTCGTGAAGATGTCATCTTCCAACTCCTCATGTAAAAATGCAGTTTTTACATCGAGTTGTTCAAGTTCCCAATTGAATTGAATAACAAGAGCCAACATCAATTTGATTGTCTTGTAGTTAATCACGGGTGAAAATATCTCATTATAGTCCACACCCTCTCTTTGAGTATAACCCTTAGCCACTAACATCGCCTTAAACCTCATAGGATTATTAGGGCTCAAACCTTCTTTTAATTTGTATATCCACTTCCTGCATGGCTTTTATCCAATTTTTAGCATATTTTCCATTAATAGCTTCTTCATAATTGGCGTGTTCTATCTGATCAAGGGCTTCACCTGAAACTAAGGCAAACTCAATTAAGTTTAGGGATTTATATCTAGGATTAGTCCTAATCTGCCTTCTCGCCATATCTTTAGTAAGCTAATAATCTTGATTAGGTGGCTGATCATTAAAATGTTTAACTTCAACTGGTTCAATGTTGTTTTGAAGTTCAGTCACCTCTTCAGGTTCAATTTCAGTTTAAGGTTCATGATGTGTAGGGTCATTACCGTCATTCCCAAGTGTAGGTGAATCAAGCTTGGTCAGCTTCTCCTCATCTGAACACTCTTCACAGTTTCAGATTTGTTAGCTTCATCAGTTTTCTGTTTTAGACATGGCATCTCAGATTAATTAAATACTACATTTCTGCTGTTAACAATCTTAATCCCTGAACCCCTAAAACCCATAGCCTATAGCCCTTCACACCCTCAGGATACCCTAACATCACACGCTTGACAGCCCTAGTCTCAAGTTTGCCTTCAGATTGATGTGTATATGCAGCACATCCAAACATCCTTAAGTGACTTAGATTTGGAGGCTCCTCCATCCACAACTCATGTGGAGTCTTAAACCCTATACTGCTGGACGGTGACCTATAAGCTGCAGTGCTAGCAGCTTCAGTCCAAAAACCTTTGGCAAGGCCAGAGCTAATCAACATACACCTAACCTTGTTCATTATGGTCCTGTTCATTCTCTCAGCGACCCATTCTGTTCAGGTGTGTATTTAACTGTTTTGTGTCTTGTTATCCCTTTATGGTTTACAGAAGTTGTCAAATTTGAAATTACAGAATTCAAGCCCATTATCAGTTCTTAATATTTTAAGTTTCTTATTTAACTGATTCTCAACAGACTTAAGCCAAATTTTGAACTTCCCAAAAGTTTCCGACTTAGCCTTCAAAGGATAAATCCAAACTTTTATTGAGTAATCATCCATTAAGGATAAGAAGTACTTACTTCCACCAAATATGAAATGCTTTTCAAGACCTCATAGATCAGCATGGATATAGTCCAATGGTCTGCTGGTTCTATGAGAGCCAGCTTCAAAACTCACCTTATGGGACTTACCCAAAACACAGGTCTCACAAAAATCCATAGCTTCAATGTTATCTTTTCCAAGTAATTTCTGATTACCTTAAGATTTTAGCCATTTAAACCCAATGTGACACATTCTGTTATGCCAAAGTTCAGTTTTATCTTTACTAACTGTAAGAAGACTCGAATCAGGTGTTGTTTCAGTTCTGCCCTCAAGATAGTACAGCTCATTCCTCTTGGGTCCTTTCATAACTATCAAAGATCCCTTAAAGATTTTCAAAACATTATTCCAGGATTTAAAGGTATATCCCTCATCTTCAAGAGTATCTAAGGATATGAGGTTCCTCTTTAAATTAGGGACATATCTAAACTCCCCGAGTTGCCTGACAGCCCCATCATACATCCTGATGGCTATGTCACCAACCCCAACCACATTCTAAGAATTATTTTCTCCCATGTTGACCTTCCTAGGTTCAATCTCTTTATAGTTATAGAACCAAGACCTTTCAGGGCACATGTGAAAGGTGAACCCTGTGTCTAAGATCCAACTTTTATCAAATTCTCCCTCAGCCACATTCAGGACGTGTAAACTATCGAATTCAGAAACAACGGCAACATTACTTAGATCAGTATTGTTCAAGTCTTTCTGTTTCTTTTTCCAGTCAAAGTAGTCTTTCCTAAAATGTCCTAACTTTCCACAGTTATAACATTTCTTACCACTTTTGTCTTTAGATTTGGATGGCATTTTAGATTTTCTCCTTCCTTTTTGTGCTAGAAATTAAATTCTCTCTTTTCATGTCTTCACCTAACAAATAAGCTTTCTTCTCTCAAATTAGTTATGTTATCTCTTTTCAGTTCATGTTCTCTTGATTTCAATGTATCTACCACAATAGCCTACGAAAGAGTATCCCTACCATACTTTACGGCATTTCTAATTTCTTTATAAGATTCGGGCAATGAATTTAACAGTATTACAACTAAATCTTCATCCTCAAACTTCTTATCATTTTGAGTCAGACTTTTAACAATTATGCTATAATCACTTAAATTCCCTTCTACATCCTTCCCCGGGTCCATTTTAAAACTAAATAGCTTCTCTAACAGGTATATCTTGTTAGGCAAAGCTTCAGTTAAGAATAAGGCATCTAAAGCAGTCAACGAAGTTCTAGCATCTTTAGCACTATCAACTTGTCTAACAACATTATCAAATAAGTGCAAAATTATAGACTATAAGCAATTTCATTCATTTTTTCAATTTCAACAGGTTTAGCTTTTAACTCATCAGTTAAAATAAAAGGATCATCGAAAGTTTTAGCAACTCTCTGTTGGACCAAAATGGCCTCATTTTCTGTTTCCATATCGAGTAATCCCCATTTCCATCGAATTGAGACAATTCGACCCTTGAACCCATTCCGGATTCTGTAAAAGGGTGGCTTGTACTCGTGGACATAATAGAAAATGTTTTGAAAAAATCTTTTCCAGATGATCAATACAAAGTATGAATGCAGAGTTAAAATCAATATCTAGAAATGAAACATAGCAATGAAACAATTTGATCAAAGAGCCTCAATGTGATGTGTGCAGGTGTGATTCAAACTTAAGTAATGCACATGTATATTAAACAAGTAAGCATGCATTCAAGAATATATACCAGTCACAGGAATTCAATCACCAGAATTCACAGACAATTAATCAATTAATCATGCATGAATCAGGAAAGAATACCAAACCTAACTTAAAGATGAGCTTGGAACGATCTTACCAACTACTGTTGAAAAACAGTAACTATACCATCAACTCCTTAATCGATCAAGCCAGTCAAAAGTCACCAAATCACCCAATTTAGCCAACGACATACACAACAGAAAATTACAAGGAATCAATATCGAATTAGAGAACAAGATGCCAAAAAAAGTGATGTTTTCTGTTTAAACCTCAGAAGGTATATACAAATATATCACGGGACCCAATCAACAGATTCAGAAAGGACGAACACAGCCAGGCCCTACGTCGAAGGGGCTCTAATACCAGTTTATTAGGAATTAACAGAATGGCTTAAAACCAACGTATTCAATGGCTCAAAACCAACGTACATTAACATTTGCAGAATATACAAAAACATAGGCACTGAAATCGAAACATAAAAGAGACGGAATGCAACTTCCCTTAGGTTCTTCTTCCCCTTTCAATGGCTGAAATGTTAGGCTCAGGAACAGCCTCCATACCTTGTAAATTACCTTCCACGGAGAGCTAGAGAGCCGGTTAGAACCTCTTCTCACTTGGCTTGGATCATCGATCCAAGGATCTACCAAAACAGCCAAGATTCACACCCTAAATCAAACCTAAGCCCCCGAGAAACACAACACCACTTAGTCACTATTTCAAGCCTAATTACATAGGAGTTTCTTCAATCAATAGGCTAGAAGGGTCAATTTTAGGGCCCATTGGAGGAAGAAGAAGAAGAAATAATGACTCCAACCGATAGCAAAGTGAGAGGTCACGAAGAGAGCATGAAGAGTATCTCAAAGCTAAAGCCCAAGAGAAATATCTATTCAAGAATAAGTCTCAACCGTGGATTAAATCCAAGGGCTACAAACAATTCCAAAGTAGCACACAATCCGGGTCACTACTAATGCTACCAATAAGTAAGTGCCACTTAAGCAACAATAGTAAAGAATAAGTAACACTAGAAATGTCACAAATAGCACTAGCCCAATAAGTGTTAGGAGAACTATTTAAGCCCAAAGGTTCAATTTGAGGAAATGACTGAATGTGATATTGTTTCATGGAATTCAATGATTGATGGTTATAATCAGCACGGTTCACATGTTGAATCTCTAGAAATGTTCTCAAAGTTGCTCAGGGAATCTCAATTAAAGCCTGATAGATACACTCCAGCTAGTTTGTTGTTTTCTTGTACAAATCTCGAGGAGCTAAAATTCGAGAAGCAAATACATGCCAATATCATTAAAAGCGAATATAATACTTTTTGGTCAGTAGGGAATGCGTTGTTCTACATGTACTCAAAGGGTGGCAGTGTTAAAATAGCAAAGAAGTTATTAGAGCAATTTGGAACTTCCATTTTAAATGTTATAGCATTTACAACCTTATTAGATAACTACATCGAGCTTGGGAATCAAAATCCTGCCAGACAGGTTTTTGATTTATTAAAGGATCCTAATGTAGTTTCATGGAGAGCTATGGTTGTTGACTATGTACAGAATGGCATGAACTAGTGGAGCTATTCAGGTCAATGATCAAATAAGGTCCAAATCCTAATAGTTGTACTCTATCAGCTATGTTGAGTATCAGTTCTGAAGTAATTTACAGCATATTTAAACATGAATTTCGGGTTAAAATATATACTTGAAATGATGAATTTCAAGATCTTTTGAATGGTTGAATCATCTTGCTTTAATAAATTTCAAATCTACAATTTTCTTGTACTCCAATTGTCTCAATCCCGATTATAATTGAAGGGGATTATTAGCTACAACCTAAGTGCCAATTTTTGTGAGTTTTCATGCCAAAATAGTAGTTTTATGTGCCGTTCAATTTTGGTGATATTTTTCATACGAATTTTCATTTTTTTTTCTACTATCTTTTTTCTCTCCATTGCTAGACAAAAAAATTGGAGATTTTATGGGAGTTATGGGAGGTTATGAGAAGTTATGGATTTGAATTCCAATTCAAATCACTTCCTCCAACCCTTTTGATGTCTTGTGGGTCGAGTTACCCCACATGGACGACCCATGATCCATAGTTTCTAACATCTACCAGTCGTATTTGATTGGCTTGATCTGAACCATAAGAGACAACAAATGTCTATCTCACAGAAATTCATACGAGAAATAGATCGTACGACCAGCGAGTATATTAGAACTCACGGTACTATAAACCTGTTAGAGAAATATAATAGCTCTACTAGAAGAACATTACATCTCGCTATACCCCAAACTTATTTCCAACATTAACTTAAGTATTTCTGATCCTTCAAGTATTTATGGAACATATTTGAACCCCACATCTTATCATTGTATTCACAATTGTGTCTTATACCCTAAATGGTTCGACTCAATTGTCCAGTCGGTGAACACAAATATAAATGTTGGTCAAAATAGTCTTCATTTCCTACTTGAATCCTTCAACTTTAAATCAGCTGCTTTCCTAGACATGTCCCATCAAACCAAATCAATCATAGTTATTGGCAACATGTTACAGTAGAAACACCGAAATAAAATCTCAAAAATAGTCAAAAGTCATAAGTGTATATATGAGGTTATAGAAACCTCAAGGTCTCACACAATGAGGAAGTAGGGATCCATTCACTCATTTACCCAATATTGATCGTAAAAACACACGTGGTATAAAACATGCGCTACTGTATTTTCTTCCATTTTTAGGGCGTATGTCATATCCTTAATAAACAAATAACACCATACAGATCCTAGTTTAGGTATTCTCCGATACCTAACTTGAGTTCTCCTTATATTCATTCCTCTAGACAATCTCAAATCGAGAACTCGATCGGACTACTAAATAGGTTTAATGGATTAGCAAAATCCATTTCGATTACTTGTCGCAATCTCATCTTGATATATCATCAAGGCGACAAATCATGTACACAACATGATCATTATGTCTCATCTCAGCACACTCCAAAATGTTTGAAGTGATCGGTCGTGTGAATGAGTCAATCTCAACCTGTTTGATATACTTTATATGTGTATGCAAAATATTATCTCGTAATCCCAACAAAAGATTACACATAAACTTAAAATTGTTCATCTATAAACACATAAAACTTAATCAAGAGTTTTCTGATACACTACCAACAAGTATATCTCTAAACATCTTTAAAGTATGATGATTACAAACCATCATTTGCGTAGATATATTGCAAAGACACTTTCTTTGCTAATGTCTCTCACGGAAATATTATCAAGTGTTTGATTCCATCATGATATTTTAGATCCACAACACATGAGATAACTGCGTAATTATCATTGATCTCATATTCTCAACTAATGTCATTAGATGCCATGTACATCTATACCAAATAATTTCTTCAACTGTCAAGATACATATACAACAAGATATGCTTCTGATACTCTATATAGCAAGATTGTATAAGTATAATAACAATTTGTGCTCGACTAACTCTCATTTTTAGTCGATATTTGCATATCTGTCCCACTCACAAGTTATTCATTCGACAACAAATAGAATAACTGACAGCAGTATTCTTTAGGTATCACAATATCCTTTCTAATGACAACATCGATACCTACTGACTAGATCCTTAGCATGACAAATATTAAGGCAAGTATACAACATAGCATACTTCTAATTCTTAATCGCACTAGATATGGTCTTACGGATATTTCTTTGTGCACTTATGGAATCCTTGAACATGTATGAAGACTCATATGGTCACCTTGACATAGGAGCATCAACAGGGTAGCAATTCCAATGTTAAAAAATATTCTAAAATCTTTATGGTATATAGCTCTTGTGACAGAGAAACAAAACTAAAATAATCTTTTCAACACAAAATATACAATTTGCTAAACCCATGTTATTCGTCTAAAAAATTAAGGACGACTATTTTAAAATGGTTTCAATACACTCATTCTCATGTTTAGCTAATATATTGTCATCAACATCAAAATTAGAATTAAAACCCACCATCAGACTTTTACATAAATACAGTAAACGTCATCCACATGATAGAATTTTGTATGAGATTTAAACCATGTTAAAACTTAAGTACCAATGTCCATATGACTATATTAGCCTACAAGTGTAACTAAGAAGTTGCCATAATACTATAGAAGCATTTAACATGAAACCTGCAAATCGATTCTTATAGATCTCTTCAATCAATTCTTGATTGAGAATGAAAATACAGTCTATTTGGTGTAATCTAAACTTAAACACACTATCATGGTTAGCATCAACCTGTAGAAGTGAATCTCACTAATGAGAAAAAAATTGTCTGGCTCAATATACTCATATTGAGTATAACCATTTTTAAAAAAAAATGAATTTTATTAATCATAAACTCATTAGTCTTCCATTTAGTTTTTAAGAACATGAATGTTCTCAATAAAATAATGTCCAATTAAAACCTCCACCATGTCTCAAATTAGGTTCGAATTCTATACTCCATATATACTATCCATCACTTTCTTCAAATTTTTCCACTAGATTTCTGAATCAATAATCATTGAAATTAAATAGCTCTTAACTCATACTCAGAATCAAGAATAATTGAAATGAGATAGCTCTCATTTTAATAGATAGCTCACACTCGTAAACATATTACTCTCACTTGAATCAGAAGTTTAAACCAACTCTTATGTATTCAAAACTGATTCTTCAATACACATAATATCAATTTCAATAATATTCTCCAAATTTTTCTCTCATATTAGGAAAAAAAATATCAAATGTCACATCTTGTGACCCAATATCCATCCATCCATCCAAAACCTCACTTAAGTACATTTTTGGACTGTTATGTGTATCTTAGAGATACATCTGTTCTTAAAAGACTCATGTTTCCAAACTCATTATCAAGAATTTACATAATCGATTATGAGTCTAAGACAACCCATATTTGATTATCTACATGTCCAAAGCTTATATATTCTGAAGGTATTAACATTAAGAAAAATCCATTAAATGATACATTGCAGTTAACCAATACTCTTCCCAAAAGAAAATACATAAATTGGACTGTATTATCTCAAGTCTCATCACATTCGATAATATTATGTTCTTTCTTCCCAATAAACCATATAATTATTGGTGATCAAGAAATAATCAATCCAATAAGAATTTCTCTTTCATTACCTAGATCATAGATCTCTCGTGAGGAGATTCACACTCTCAAACAATTCTCAAAGTCTCATCACATTCAATAATATTCTCAACTTATGAAAATTAGAGGCACAACTAAAAAGCATGAATCCATATATAAATTCAATGAAAATATGAAATTTTATCTCTTTCTTTCAAGAAATTCGAATGGATTTACTCAATGAAAGTTTAGCTCTTACAATTTTGAATGGTTTTCTCAACTTAAAACCTCAAACCATTGGACAAATATCCAGAACCATAATTAAACTTTTACCACTGTGAGTATGAATAGAACTACCACATATAAGTTCAAGTAATAGACCACTTTTAGAAGAACAAAAATCGAGATCAAGTCTAGTGGAGCCTTTGATACTATTTTAATATCAAATAGGAGGACAGTTTCTCCATTTTGCAACACTAAGTTGCAGTATCAGTCATATAAATCTCCACTCTATTTTCATTATTTGTTTATATCTATATATCAAGTCAAAGACTCGACGTAGACTAAAGACACTTTTTGATCTCAAATAAAGTGGGTTTTTAACTCTTAAATTCATTATCCACACAAAATAATGTCCAATATATATAGTGTTGATACGTAAACAACACTAAGAGAAATATATTCAAGTGTTATATCCTTTAACCTAACTACTTTCGAGCTAAGAGATTCAAATCGAGTGGTTGAAACACTTGAACCTTTATAAAATTGGTCTTCCACCAAAACTACTTTCACGTATTTCTATCTGATACGTTCTTCTTGGTCCATTTTCCAGTCTCATCATTATCCACATTTGTTTTAGTTCATTTAAAGCTTAAGATCCAAAATCTTTTACGAACTAGAATATTGCTACACAAACATGTCCTCGAGATTTAGCAACATCAAGTCGCATATCTTTTAACTCACACGGTGGGTAGTGTCAATAAAAGAAATTGACACTTCAATTTGTAAGTCACATTGACCTTCAAAGTTCCCATCTATTGAAATGAGACTACTTTGAACTTGCTACTAACCAACATAAATTTTGTGACCAACAAAAAAAAAATTGTTAACACTATGTTAACCATCTCAGCTTAGTCACATTTGAGAAAAAAGATCATCTATAATAGAACTTAACGATTCAAATGCTCAGTACTAGAATCTACTTTTTCCGTACTTGACAAAGTTCTTGATCTTTATTCTCTAGAGTCGGCTGACCCACATCAAGTCTTCAATTACGTATTTGATGCTATCTAAAACATTATGTTCTTCTAATTGAAAAACTTATTATGCCAAATGTTATCGCATTTAGCTTGTCACCTTTATTAAGGTCAACAACTATAGATGTTGATGCCATGATCCATCATATTTTAGAATCATTTTATTCTCAATCAA